CATCCTGCACTGAGGAATTGGCGCTGGTCACGCTGTCCTGGATGCTGGTCCAGCTCAAGAACTCCCCTCCTGCTGCCCGGTGTTGCCTTTTGAGCTGCGCTAAGTCCTCAAAATACCTGCAGGAGACACATAGGGCACCGGCTCGGCGCGTCCCAAGCGGGAATGGTGCCGGGCAGAGCCAGCACCCTGCTTTCCAAAGGGGAAAATGCAAGGTCTGGGGCAGGGTGGGTGCTGAAACCAGCCCACACCAGCTGCCCATCGCTTCCCGAGGCTCTGCCCCACAGCCCCCACCCCACACGCAGCCCTCACCGCTGCGCGTTCGCATCCTCGACACCCGCGAGCCCCAGGGCAGAGCTGACCAGGCTGCTCCAGAGCGCATCGGGGTCCCCAGCATCCAAGGCTCTGTTAACCAATGCCACGGCCGAGAGCATCTCCACAGCCACAAACAGCTCCTCCTGCACCAGCTCACCCTGCACGGGGCAAGGCAGAGATGCTGAGACCCCCATATCCCGGCCTATCAGCGGTACTGATCCCCCCCCACAGCACCAAAGAACGGATGGGACCCGGACACGGATCCATGGGGAGCTCACCCGCGGGTGCTGGCTCTGCAGCAGGGCCAGTTGGTGCTGGTACAGGGGGGCAGCGAGCGGGTACACGTGGGGCAGCTGGGCTGCGGGGTCCATCAGCGCTCCCAAGGTTTCGGCTGGGTTTCCACGACGGATGGCAGCGTTCACCCGGCTGATGGCCCCCAGCACTGCAGGAAGGCACCGGCTCCAAAGGGATGCACCCAGGCAGCGGAACCCCCCCCCTCCTCTCCCAAAAAAAGCACCACATCCACCCCAGGCACTCACTGGCTCGCTCCTCCTCGCCCTTCCTGTTTGCTGCCAGGATCCCAGCTTCCAGCTCTTCCCGCTCCAAGAGATCCATGTAGCCCAGCTCCTGCAACAACAGCTTCTGTGTCCCACAGCCCCTGCTGATGGAGCTGCCCCGCTCAGACCCCCTGCAGGAGATGCTCATCCCCATTGCTCCCCCTCCGCCCCGCTCCAGGGTACCAGCACCCAAACAGCGCCCCACAGGGCTCCTCCAGCCCCTACCAGCGCCTTCTGCTCCCGGTCCGTGCTGAGCTGCTCCAAGTAACGCTGGAGGTTGTGGCGCTGGAGGCAGCGCAGGGCCAGGAGCGGGTCCTGCAGCGCACGGTGCAGCGCCAGCGCATCCTGCTGCTCCAGGGCATCGTCCACCTCCTCCAGAGCTCCGTGCACTAGGACGGGACATGGGCACCCGGAGCGAGTCAATCGCCCTCATCCCCCTTGCGCTGCAGGCTCTGCAGCCTTCTCTGGCCCCTCTCCAGCACCTCCATGTCCCTCTTGCAGTGAGGGGCCCAGAGCTGAGCACAGCATTGTTAGCAGTGGGTATTAAGAACGCGAATTTCCCCTTGGGAAAGCACCAAAAGACCCAACCCAGGCCCCCAAGACATCTGAAACCTGAGCAGATGGCCTCTTTCTGCTGTGCCCCCCCCCAGCCCAGGCAGGCTCTCCCTGCAGCCCTGGGTACCACAGGTAGGGAAGGCCCAAGCTTTGCTCTCACCATTCACTTTGTTGATGTTCCCTTGGATCTCAGCCTGGGTCAGGTAATGGTCGTAGATGTCCTCTCCCTCGGGGATCACCTGCAGGAGCTGCAGGATGCTCCCCCTGAGCACGCACCCTCCCAATAGCACCCAGAGGCTTCCAACCTGGCCTCGAACGCTGCCAGGGATGGGGCGGCCACAGCAGCTCAGCGCCAGCACAAGACGTGCACGGGGACCCCTCCAGCCCATCCCCACCAGCCCTGGCCTCCCCTCCTCACCCTGTTCCTGGCGTTGCTGCCCTTCTCCAGCTTCGCCCGGTGCAGCATCTCCTGGTAGGCGCCCGCCAGCTCCGGGCGCAGGCCGAGCAGCATCGCGCTGGGGTTGCAAAGGGCCCCCATGGTCTGGGCCACCACCCCCTGCTCCACGGCTTGGTTGATGGCCAGCACGGCGGCGTGCACTGGAGAGGGAGGGGGGCAGTGGGACGGTGAGGCAGGGACCATCCCCTATGGTCCTGAGTGCGTGGGATGAGCTGCGCCACGCGGGATGCTGGGAACCAGCCCCATCCCCAAAGAGCAATCCATGCTCTCCAGTGCCCACAAAGCCTCCACGTCTCAGCACGTGAACCCTTGGGTCCTGTGCCAGCCCATGCATGGGTCAAGGGGAGAGCAATGAGGAGCCTCCACCGTCTCAGGGCACCCCTGTGTTTGCTGCCTGGCCCCGGGCGTGACGTTTGGGGGTCCCCATCACCTGCTGCTTCATCCCCAGAGAGCTCGTTGGCCAGGATGCCCCCGATCTTGCTGAAGGCAGGGAGCTGCAGCCCGTACTTCTCCAGCTCCCGCTTCATGTGGTTGATCTCCTCCTCTGGAACACAGCACAGAGGCATAGGAGAGAGCAGCTTGGCTTGGGGAAGGAGCTCGAGGCTCATCCAAACCAGAGGGGTGCAAAAGAACCCCACGCTGCGGTAGCATCACCGAGGCTGAAGCCCAAGGTCTTCGCTCCCCACATCCCTCCCAGTGCAGGGCCCCAGAGCATCCCTGCAGCGATGCCGTACCTGTGAAGTCCACCTTCCCATACAAATCCTGGATCTGAGGAGCCAGCCCCAGCTTGAAGAGGTACAAGCTGAAAGGCAAAGCACATGCACACCATGACCACTTCCCTCCCTGTGCTTCTGCAGCACCCAAAGGCTCTTTCCCTCATTTTGGGGATGCCACCAAAGGGCTTTTGAACACCAGCATGACCAGTGTGGGGCCAGGGGCACCCACCTGAGCGCATGGATGCAATAGACCACCCGGGGCATGTTCTTCTTGTCATAGATGTCCGTGGTCTCCGGGTGGAACATCTGCCAACAAGACAAGAGGTCGCTCAGGAGGAGATGGCACCGACATGGTCCATGGGGAGGATGGTGACCAAGAGTGGAGGGGCAGAGATGAACCCCCCTCAACAGCAACACGGGCAATGGGGGCCGTTACCGTGGGGAGCCCCACGTGGCTCATCGCATCCCTCCAGTAGTTGATGTTATCCGTGTGCCGGAAGTGGAGCCCGGCTGCCTGGAGGACAGGAAACACAGGATGAGGCTCAGCCCCCCCCAGTTCTCCCAACCTTGGGGTCCCCGCTCCCCCAAAACCATGAGGTTAAAGCCCAAGGCAAAGCCTGTGGAACCCCCCCAGGAATGAACCCTGCAGCGCCCGGGATGCACCCTAAGGGATGCACCCCCCCAGCCTCACCTTGTAGCGGGTCTGCTCGGGGTCGTAGATCTTCTTCAGAGGGACCACGGTGGGGGCAAAGCAATGGCCCAGCTTGGCCAGGACCACCCCATTGCGCAGGGTCTCTTCGAGCTCCATTGGAGGGGGCAGCTCCTCGCGCAGACAGGCCTCCAGCCAGCTGCAGGGCAGAGATGGGGCACGTCACGGACCCCCTCCAGACCCATTCCAGGCAGGAAAAGCAGCTCCCAAAGGCGACACCCCCACCCCATCCACATCAACCCCCCCTCCACGGTAGGGAGGGGTCAGCACCCATCTCTTTGCTTGGCTGCTCCCCCTTTGGAGAGCCAGGAAGCACCAGGAGCAGGCAGGATCCTGCAGGATCCCAGACCACCCCCCCCCATTCCTTATCTCCCAAGCTCCATCCCAGCCTTCCCCCCCCGCCCCATCGAAACCGGGGGGTCCCCACATCCAGCCCCACCGCTTGGCCTCCTCCAGGTGACACAGGTACTGGTAGGCGATGTTCTGCCTCCTCTTCTCATCCATCTCCTCTGCCGTGAGCCGCTCGCCTGCATGGGGGGCAGACCCCGTTATCCCGGGGGGGGGGTTTGTCCTTAACCCCCATCCCACCCCAATGAAGATCCCCACAAGGAATTCCACCAAGGCCTCCCCCGCACCCCCCGAGCGGCCCCGCATCCCCACCGGGACCCCCCCTTTGCAGCCCCACAACCGGCCGCTCACATCGCCCCGAGCCCGCTCCCTCCATGGCTACGGCTGCGGAGGCTCCACCCCGCGATTTGAATCTCCCGCCGCTCACGTGACACCGCGCGGGGGCCGCCGGGAGTTGGAGTTCAGTAGCGGGTAGCGAGGACCGGGTGTAGTGCGGTAATGGGGACCGGGTGTAGTGCGGTACTGGTACCAGGGACCGGTTGTAGCGCGGTAATGGGGACCGGGTGTAGTGCGGTACCGGTACCAGGGACCGGTTGTAGTGAGAATGGGGACCGGCTGTAGTGCGGTATCAGTACCAGGGACTGGTTGTAGTGTGGTAATGGGGACCAGATGTAGTGTGGTAATGGGGACCGGGTGTAGTGCGGTACCGGTACCAGGGACCGGTTGTAGTGCGAATGGGGACCGGCTGTAGTGCGGTATCGGTACCAGGGACTGGTTGTAGTGTGGTAATGGGGACCGGATGTAGTGCGGTAATGGGGACCGGGTGTAGTGCGGTACCCGGGACCGGTTGTAGTGCGAATGGGGACCGGCTGTAGTGCAGTATCAGTACCAGGGACTGGTTGTAGTGCGGTAATGGGGACCGGGTGTAGTGCAGTAATGGGGACCAGCTGTAGTGCGGTACCGGTACCAGGGACCGGTTGTAGTGCGGTAATGGGGACCGGTTGTAGTGCGGTAATCGGGACCGGCTGTAGTGCGGTACCAGGGACCGGTTGTAGTGCGGTACTGGGGAGCAAGGACTATGGACACGATGGGGTGGTTGTGCAATCAGTCATCCAGCTCCCAGCATCACCCGCTCACAGCATCACCCTACTCACAGCATCACCCCGCTCACAGCATCACCCAGCTCCAATGACCGTGTTGCCATGGCACTGCACACCGGTGCTAGGGATGAAACCGGAGCCACTGGGGCCATCTCAGAACGTTCCTTCCCCGGGAGAAGCCCAGCTTTGTCCCGTTCCGCCTTTGCCACGCACACCCCTGCTGCTTTCCTGGTGCTCCAAAGCGGCTTTCCAGGCATCCCAGTGGGACCCAGCAGCCCTCGGACCCCCCCATCCATGACTGGAAGGCAGCAGCGAGCGCTGGTGATGCCCCGTGTCCTTCTCCCCTCTCTCGGCGCCTAAAGAGCAAACAGTAAGTGCCTGCCTCCCATAAGGACACCCTGGGAATACCCACCCTGTGCTGCTCTTCCCCAGACATCCCGCTGCATCCCTCCCTTGCAGGCAGGTCTCACTCAGCCCATGGCTTCAGAGGAGGCAGCAAACCCCGAACCACATCCCACAGCCCCTGTGACCCCCAAAAAGAGCCGGAAGAAAGGGAAGGAGAAGCCAGAGGCCGGGGCAGATGCTCAGGAAGGAGGGGAGGAGGTGGTGGAGCCAGAGGCCAGGATCCAGGCGCTGACACGAGCCGGGCACCGGGCGCTGGTGCTGGGCGCTGGGCAGGAGGCAATTGGGTGCTTCAGGAAGGCGTTCGTCCTCTCCAGGAGCATGGGGAGCCCCCAGCTCCGCAGCGCTTGTGCCTTCAACCTGGGGGCTGCCTACGTGGAGACCGGGAAACCCAAAAAGGGCCTCAGGTTCCTCCTCCGGTCCCAGTCCTCACTGGGGGGCCATGGGGAGCCCTCGCCGGACCTTTATTTCAGCATCGAGGCGGCTCGCGAGGGGCTCCAGGACTTCCCAAAGGCTCTGGAGCACTTTGGCCTCGCCGCTGGCGCTGCTGATGGTGATGATGGTGATGATGGTGCGGCCCGGGCCGGCAGCAGAGCCGGGACCCACGTGCGGATGGGCTGCTGCTACCTGGGGATGCGGGAGCCGGCGCTGGCGGCGCGGTGCTTCCTGGATGCTGCGCGGTGCTTTGCGGCGGCCGCCAGCCCGGAGGCCGCGGCCGTGGCTCTGAGCAGGGCCAGCGGCTCCATGCTGCAGAGCCGGGGCTTCGGGGTGGCCGAGATCGCCGCGGTCCTCGCCCAGTGCCGCTCGCTCTGCGGCAGCATCCGTGATGCAGCCCTGCGAGGTAAACGCCACGCTCCATCCCTCGCTCCCGGTGCCCGGAGCAGCACCCGCACCCGGCCTTTCCCCTCTGCTCCGCAGGGAAACTCTACAGCGACATCGGGCTCGGCTATTCCCAGCTCCACATCTTCCCCCTGGCTGCTGAGAGCTTCCAGAGGGCTCTGGCATCAGAACCGGAGCAGGACAGGGCGGCCGCGCTGCTGCAGAACATGGGCGCTGCCCACAACGCGCTGGGCAGCTTCGGCACGGCGCTGGGCTGGCACCGGCAAGCGGCAGCGCTGCACGGTTGGTGGCACCGGGATGCTTTGCTCTTGGCTTTGCTGGATGTGCCCCATTCCAATGGGGTTCCCAATTCCAGGTGTTCTCGGGAACCGGAAGGCGCAGGGGCAGTGCTTTGGGAACCTGGCTTATGCCTGCAGCCGGCTCGGGAACCATGAGGCTGCTGCAGAGAGCTACCTGCACGCCCTGCAAGCCTTCCGGGACTCGGGTAAGGGGGATGCAGGCGAATCATCCCTGCTCTGGTGGCTCGGCAGCATCCCCACGCCGGGCGCGTGCCGGATCCAAAGGGCATCAGTGATGCTCACGCTGCAGGACCACGCTGGACCAGCGCTGATGCTGCTCCTCACCTCCCAGGGGATGTACCGGGGCAGTGGCAAGCGTGCGAGGGGCTGGGAGCTGCCTACTTCCACCTGGGAGACCCCTCCAGAGCCATCGGGCACTACAAGGAGGCCCTGACGTTGCTTTCCCGTTGCCAGGTTAGGACCATGGGGCGGGCTGGATGCTCTCCTGCATCCCGGGGTGACCACCCCAGCCCTGGGTGCTGATCGGGGGGTGCCTCCTCTGCAGGACACCCCCAGAGCCGCCCGTGAGCGGGTCGTGCACAGGCTCACCGATGCCATCCAGCACCGGCTCTGCCTCCACGGCCGCCTCTCCCATAGGGTGAGCATCGCCCCATGGCGCAGGGAGGGTTGGGGCACTGGAGCATCGCAGCCCAGGCAGGGCTTGGTGGACGCACCAGGGGTCGGGGGGCAGAGATGTGAACCCCGCAGGGTCCCCCCCATCCCAGCAGGATGTGTCCCCCCATCCCAGCAGGACCCGGGTCAGCTGCAGCTTCCCCCCACCCGGCCCCACGCCACCAGGACACAGCTTTGGGGGAGCAGGATGTGAGTCAGAAACCTGCTGCATCCCCACATCCCGGGATGTAGCCATGACCCCGGGGCGGGCTCGGGTACCCCATACACCCCGTTAATGCCTCGGCCCCTCGCTGCCCTCCCCAGCCCCATGGACCAGCGGCCCCATGGATGCCGGGAGCCCCGCACCGGGAGGATGGAGCCCCGCACCGGGAGGATGGAGCCCAGCACCGGGAGCAGGGAGCCCCACAAGGGGAGGATGGAGCCCAGCACCGGGAGGATGGAGCCCAGCACCGGGAGCAGGGAGCCCCGCACCGGGAGGATGGAGCCCAGCATCGGGAGGATGGAGTCCAGCACCGGCAGCAGAGAGCTCCGCACCGAGAGGACGGAGCCCAGCACCGGGAGGATGGAGCCCAGCACCGGGAGCAGGGAGCCCCGCACCGAGAGGATGGAGCCCAGCATCAGGAGGATGGAGCCCAGCACCGGGAGGATGGAGCCCAGCACCGGGAGGATGGAGCCCAGCACCGGCAGCAGGGAGCCCCACACCGAGAGGATGGAGCCCAGCATCAGGAGGATGGAGTCCAGCACCGGGAGGATGGAGCCCAGCACCGGGAGGATGGAGCCCAGCATCAGGAGGATGGAGCCCAGCACCGGGAGGATGGAGCCCAGCACCGGGAGGATGGAGCCCAGCACTGACAGCAGGGAGCTCCGCAATGAGAGGACGGAGTCCAGCACTGGGAGGACGGAGCCCAGCACCAGGAGCAGGGAGCCCAGCACCGGGAGCAGAGAGCCCCGCACCGGGAGGATGGAGCCCAACACCGGGAGGATGGAGTACAGCACCGGGAGGGTGGAGCCCAGCACCGGGAGCAGAGAACCCCGCACCGGGAGGATGGAGCCCAGCACCGGGAGGATGGAGTCCCGCACCGGGAGAATGGAGTCCAGCACCGGGAGGGTGGAGCCCAGCACCGGGAGGATGGAGCCCAGCACCGGGAGCAGGGAGCCCCGCACCGGGAGGATGGAGCCCAGCACCGGGAGCAGGGAGCCCCGCACCGGGAGGATGGAGTCCAGCACCGGGAGGATGGAGTCCAGCACCGGGAGGATGGAGTCCAGCACCGGGAGGGTGGAGCCCAGCACCGGGACGATGGAGCCCAGCACCGGGAGGATGGAGCCCAGCACCGGGACGATGGAGCCCAGCACCGGGAGGATGGAGCCCCGCACCGGCAGCAGGGAGCCCCGCACCGGGAGGATGGAGCCCCGCACCGGGAGGAAGACGCTGTCGCTCTTCTGCATCCTCTTGTGACGGCGGCAGCACCGGGAGCTCGCACCGGGACCCGGCGCGGTTTCGAACCCGCATCTCCGCTGTCCCCCTTCGGGCACCCGACGGGGCGGGTACGGGGGGACCCGGCTCCGCCCCGGGGCCGTCCCTGCGCCTGCTCCTTGCGGAGCGGAGCCGCTCGGAGCCCTCCGCATGCCGGGCCCGAGGGCGCTGCTGGGGCTGGGGCTGCTGGTGGCGGCCGGGGGGGTCCGGGCGGGCGGGCGCTGCTTGAACCGGGGCTGGGGCTGGGGCTGGAGCCGGGAGCGGGCTCCGTGGTGCGGCTCCCACCGCGCCATGCACGGCCCCAGCGCCGGGCCCGGCCCGCGGGGGCTCCGCTTCCTCGGGTACGGCCGCAGGGATGCGCTGTGGGGAGGGAGGGAAAGGGGGTAAGAGGGCGGTTGGGGGTCCGCAGGGGGGTAACGCCATGGGGGGCTCGGGCAGAGCCATTGGGGTGCATGGGGGGGGGGCAGATGGGCGCTGTGGTGCTCGTCCCCTTTGGGGCTCTTCACAAAGCCGAGGGCATCTGAGCCTCCAGAACCGGGGTGCAGGCGGGTTTTGGGGTCCCCATAGGAGCTATAATCCGCTCCCCCCCCCCCCCCTCCCCGTGCAGGCAGGATGAGGCCCAGGCCATTGACCAGGAGCTGTTCACCGAGTACAAGTTCAGCGTGGACCAGTTGATGGAGTTGGCGGGGCTGAGCTGCGCCACGGCCATCGCCAAGGTGGGTGCACAGGAGCACGGGGATGGGGGGGGGTCCCTGCATCCTCAGCATCACCCTCCCAGCACCTCCTGCCCCGCTCCAGGTTTATCCCCCCAGCTCCTTCACCACGAGCCGCCCCGCGGTGCTGGTTGTGTGCGGGCCGGGCAACAACGGCGGCGACGGCTTGGTCTGCGCCCGGCACCTGAAGCTGTTTGTGAGTCTCTTGTGCCCTCCCACCCCCCGACCCCATCAGCTTTGGGGTTCCTGCTCCTGGGGCTGTGCCCGGCGCTGGAATTCTGCTCAGATCCCTGTTGTTCCTGCAGGGCTACGAGCCCACCGTCTATTACCCCAAGCGCTCCAGCAAACCCCTCTTTGAGGGCTTGACCACGCAGTGCCAGAAGATGGACATCCCCTTCCTGCCCGAATTCCCGGCCGAGGTGAGGATATGGAATCATGGAAGCAGCCATGGAAAAGCCCTTTCAGCTCATCCCATCCCGACTGCCAAGGCCACCGCTAACCCATGGCACTGAGAGCCTCAGCTACTCCAGCCCTGCCCTGGGCAGCCTGGTCCAAAGCCTGAGCATCCTTTGGGGCAGGAATTGGTCCTCAGCTCCATCTAAACCTGCCCTGGTGCAGCTTGAGGCCGGTTCCTCTTGTCCCACCCCTTGGGAGCAGAGCCCAGCCCCATCCTGGCTCCATCCCCCTGAGCCTTCTTTTCCCCATCTGAACCCCTCAGCCGTTCCCCATCACTTGTGCTCCAGCCCCATAGCCTTCCTATGGCCCCACTCCAGCCCCTCAATGTGTGGTACCCACTGGGCTGCTTTCCACCCTCCCCTCCGCAGCCTGCACTCATCGATGAGCTCTATGGGCTGGTGGTGGACGCGATCTTTGGGTTCAGCTTCAAGGGAGCCGTGCGGGAGCCCTTCGGCAGCATCCTCAGCACCCTGGGGCACATCACGGTGCCCATCGCCAGCATCGACATCCCCTCGGGTGAGTACCCCCCCCCCTCCCCGGAGGGCCCCATTTAGGGTCCTCCTGGCTCCAGCTTGTCCCGGGGGGGGGGGTTCCTCCTTGCAGGCTGGGATGTGGAGAAGGGGAAGGCGGACGGGCTCCGGCCGGACATGCTCATCTCACTCACGGCGCCCAAGAAGGCAGCGCTGCACTTCGAGGGGCGCTTCCACTTCCTCGGGGGCAGGTTCGTGCCCCCAGCGCTGCAGGAGAAATACGCCTTAAACCTGCCCCCGTACCCCGGCACAGAATGCGTCCTGCAGCTCACCTAGAGCGGGGGCTCAGGATGCTCAGCACCCTCAGCGCGTCGCTGGGCTGCAGGCCCTACGCAGCGCCATGGAAGCTCAGTGCAGCTCCGACCTAATCCCGGTGTTGGGAGGGGTAAATGGGATCCCGGATCCCTCCGCACTCTGGGATAGTTTCATGGCAATAAAAGCTTTATTCGTGTGCCCTCGACGGAACGTTTCGGTGCTCTCTGGGGTCTGTCCCCTTGCGTCCCTCGGGGACAGCCCCACGGCAAAGGGGTCCCTGCTTGGAAGTGGGGTGCTCCCTGATGGAAGTCAAGCTCAATCCAGCTCCAAACCAGGCAGTCCCAGCCCAGCATCCCCAGGCAGGGATGAACGCTTGGCCAGGCCGCAAAGAGCCCAGAGCATCCTTGGGCACCAAGGACAGGAATTGGGACCCTTGCAGCCAGATGGAACCAGCCATGGGGCCCTTGTTCACTCCGGGTCCTTCTTCCTCCTCCTCTTCTTCTTCTTCCTGGGGCTGTGGCTGGCCTGGTCTGGCCCATCTGTGTCTTCCAGAGGCATCTCTGCCTCAGCTGGCTCTTCTTTGTCCTGCTGCTGCTGCCGCTTCTTCTTCCCCATCACAACTGGTTCTTCTTCGTTCTCCTTCTTCCTTTTCTTCTTCTCCATCACAATTGGCTTTTCCTTGTTCTCCTTCTGCTGCTTCTTCTCCATCACAATTGATTCTTCTTCATTCTCCTTCTCCTGCTTCTTCCTTTTCTTCTTCTCCACCACAACTGGCTCTTCCTTGTTCTCCTTCTGCTTCTTCTTCTGCATCACAACTGATTCTTCTTCGTTCTCCTTCTCCTGCCTCTTCCTTTTCTTCTTCTCCATCACAATTGGCTCTTCCTTGTTCTCCTGCTTCTTCCTTTTCTCCATCACAATTGGCTCTTCTTTGTCCTCCTGCTGCTGCTGCTTCTTCTTCCTCCTTGCAGCCTTCCCTTCCTCTCCCGCCACCTCCTCTTCTCCGTTTGGCTCCTGGTGCTTCTTCTTCTTCCTCTTTGCAGCCTTTCCTTCGTCTCCCTCCTCCTCCTCGCTCGGCCCCTGCCTCTGCAGCGCCTTGGCACTGGCTCCATCCCTGCACTCTTCCCTTTGCCTCTTCTTTCCCTGCCTCTCGGGGGGCTCCTCGTGTCCGAGCGTGGCCAGGAAGGCTCGTTCCTGCTCCTCCAGGCGCGCCAGCTTGGCGCTCATCGTCAGGCCGTGCCGGGCACCCCTACAACGACCAATGGCACCGGGCTCTGGCACCTCCCTGCCAGTGCCCCCCCACCCCACCCCAAGAGGAGAGGGGTACCCCCAGGACCCACTCACTTGTGTGCTGTGCGCCCCCCGCACACCCGCATCAGCTCCTCATCCGTCAGCCTGTGGGACACAGACAGGGCTCAGGACCCGGGGTCCCCCTCGCAGCATCACCCCCCAGAGCCCCGCAGGGTGGGGATGGAGCCTTGCCTCCTGGCTGAGGACAGGTCCAGCTCTTCCTCCTCCTCCTCCTCCTCCTCGCTGCTCGCGGAGCCTGCGGGCTCCTCGCCGTGCGCTGTGAGCGTGGCCGACTGCAGAGAAGGGGGCACAAGGAAAAGGGGGGTCCTGGAGGAGAGGGGGTGCGCTGGGAAAGGGGGGTGCAGAGCTTGGGCTGCCCCCAAAGCCGTTTACCTTCACGAAGCGGCCGTACAACAAGCTGGGGGTGCCGCTGGCCTTGTGGGGCTTCCTATTGCTGATCCTGACTCCCTGCTTGGAAAGCGCCTTCAGGGAGATGCCGTCCTGCAGGGATAAGAGAGGGAAAGGGCTTGGGAAGGCTTTAACCCGAGGGGTTTCATCCTTAAACCGCATCACCGGCCCCCCCGCCGGCTCCCACCTGCCCGGCCTCCACCGCGATGTTGGCGGCCGCCTGGTTGAAGACGTGGTCCCACCAGTGGAAGGAGAAGGGCTCGGATGCGTCGTGTCCCACCTGCGGGAGCGCAGGAGCCGCTGGGGATGCTGCCACCAGCCGGAGCCCCACCGGGGATGGGGGGGGGTGTAAGGGGGGACAGGGACCCGTGACTCACCCCGGCTGTGCCGCACTTCACCTTCACCCGGATGGGCTCGGCAATGCCGTGCTCCTGCCGGCCCAGCCCCTGCCCTGCGGACAACGGCTCCATCACAGAGTGCACTGGATCCATCATGGACCGCACTGGATCCATCACGGACCGCATTGGATCCATCATGGACCGCACTGGATCCATCACGGACCGCACTGGTTCCATCACGGACCACACTGGATCCATCACGGACCGCACTGGACCCATCATGGACCGCATTGGATCCATCATGGACCGCACTGGATCCATCATGGACCACACTGGATCCATCACGGACCGCACTGGATCCAACACGGACCGCACTGGATCCATCACAGACTGCATTGGATCTATCACGGGCCGCACTGGATCCATTATGGATCACACTGGGTCCATCACGGACCACACCGGTTCCATCATGGACCAAATGGGTTCCATCATGGACTGCATGGATCCCATCCCGGACCGCACCAGCTCCATCATGGATCAAATGAGTCCCATCCCGGACCGCACAGGTTCCCTCATGGACCACATGGGTTCCATCCCGGACCGCACCGGTTCCCTCATGGACCACATGGGTTCCATCCCGGACCGCACCGGTTCCCTCATGAACCAAATGGGTTCCATCCCGGACTGCGTGGATCCCATCCCGGACCGCACCAGTTCCATCCCGGACCGCACCGGCTCCCTCATGGACCACATGGGTCCCGTCCCGGACCGCACCGGTTCCCTCATGGACCACATGGGTTCCATCCCGGACCGCACCGGTTCCCTCATGGACCACATGGGTTCCATCCCGGACCGCACCGGTTCCCTCATGGACCACATGGGTTCCATCCCGGACCGCACCGGTTCCCTCATGGACCACATGGGTTCCATCCCGGACCGCACCGGCTCCATCCCGGACCGCACCGGCTCCGCGGTGGAGACACCGGGTCCGGGGTCCGGGGTTGGCCCCGGCGCTCGGGGCACACGCGCGGTGCCGATGCGGTGGGAGCCGCACCTCGCCTCCAGCCGTGCCGCCGGAGCTGGCGCTCCGCGAACACCAACCCGCGGCCCGGCGGCCCCGGAGCGCTCATGGCGGCGGCACCGGCACCGGGATCGGGATCGGGATCGGAAACAGGAACCGGGATCGGGCCCCCCACGCTGCCTCCCGCAGGAAGCGCAAACTGCGCATGCGCGGTGGGCGGGACCACGATGGAGGGCGCGGACACGTTACACACATGTACATGCATGTACAAGGCATGTAGAGACATGAACACGCGTATTCACACGTGTACACACATCTACGTGCACATACAGATATAGCACCTTGTACACACGTATTCGCACATGTACACACGTGTATACACACATCTACATGCACATACAGGTATAGCACACATATACACACATGTATACACACATCTACATGCACATACCGATATAGCACACGTACACACGTATTCGTACATGTACACATATGTATACACACATCTACATGCACATACCTGTATAGCACACATGTACACATGTATTCGCACATGTACACACATGTATACACACATCTACATGCACATACCGATATAGCACACGTACACACGTATTCGTACATGTACACATATGTATACACACATCTACATGCACATACAGGTATAGCACACATGTACACATGTATTCGCACATGTACACACATGTATACACACATCTACATGCACATACCGGTATAGCACACATGTACACATGTATTCGCACATGTACACACATGTATACACACATCTACATGCACATACCTGTATAGCACACATGTACACATGTATTCGCACATGTACACACATGTATACACACATCTACATGCATATACCTGTATAGCACACATGTACACATGTATTCGCACATGTACACACATGTATACACACATCTACATGCACATACCTGTATAGCACACATGTACACATGTATTCGCACATGTACACACATGTATACACACATCTACATGCACATACCTGTATAGCACACATGTACACACATATTCGCACATGTACACACGTGTATACACACATCTACATGCACATACAGGTACAGCACACATATACACACATGTATACACACATCTACATGCACATACAGGTATAGCACACGTACACATGTATTCGCACATGTACACACATGTATACACACCTCTACATGCACATACTGGTATAGCACACATGTACACACGTATTCGTACATGTACACACATGTATACACACATCTACATGCACATACCTGTATAGCACACATGTACACATGTATTCGAACATGTACACACATGTATACACACATCTACATGCACATACCGGTATAGCACACATGTACACACATATACACACATCTACATGCACATACCGATATAGCACACATGTACACATGTATTCGCACATGTACACACGTGTATACACACATCTACAAGCACATACAGGTATAGCACACATATACACACATGTATACACACATCTACATGCACATACAGGTATAGCACACATGTACACATGTATTCGCACATGTACACACGTGTATACACACATCAACATGCACATACCGGTATGGCACACATGTACACATGTATTCGCAGATGAACATACATGTATGCACACATCTACATGCACATACCGGTATAGGAACATGTACACATGTATTTGCACATGTACACACGTGTATGCACACATCTACATGCGCATACTGGTATAGCACACATGTACACACGCATTTGCAAATGTACACACGTGTATACACACATAAACCTGCACATACAGGTAGAGCACACATGTACACATGTGTATACACAAATCTACAAGCATATACAGGTATAGCACACATGTACACACGTATTTGTACATGTACACACATGTATACACACATCTACATGCACATACCGGTATAGCACACATGTACACATGTATTCGCAGATGAAAATACATGAGTACACACATCAACATGCACATACCGGTATAGGACACATGTACACATGTATTCGCACATGTACACACGTGTATACACACCTCTACATGCACATACAGGTATAGCACACATGTATACATGTATTCGCACATGTACACACATGTATACACACATCTACATGCACATACCAGTATAGCACACATGTACACACGTATTCGCACATGTACACACGTGCATACACACATCTACATGCACATACAGGTAGAGCACAAATGCATACACGTGAATACACACATCTACATGCATATACAGGTATAGCACACATGTACACATGTATTCGTACATGTACACACATATATACACACATCTACATGCCCATGCAGGTATAGCACACATGTACACATGTATTTGCACATGTACACACATGTAGACACACATCTACATGCACATACCAGTATAGCACACATGTACACATGTATTTGCACATGTACACACATGTATACACACATCTACATGCACATACCGGTATAGCACACATGTACACATGTATTCGCACATGTACACACATGTATACACACATCTACATGCACATACCGGTATAGCACACTTGTACACACATGTATACACACATCTACATGCACATACCGGTATAGCACACATGTACACATGTATTCGCACATGTACACACATGTATACACACATCAACATGCACATACAGGTAGAGCACAAATGTACACACATGTATACACACATCTACATGCACATACAGGTATAGCACACATGTACACACGTGAATACACACATCTACATGCATATACAGGTATAGCACACATGTACACATGTATTCGTACATGTACACACATGTACACACACATCTACATGCACATACAGGTATAGCACACATGTGTACACACATCTACATGCACGTACAGGTAGAGCACACATGTACACACATGTATACACACATCTACATGCCCATACAGGTATAGCACACATGTACACACATGTACACACATGTATACATACATCTACATGCACATACAGGTATAGCACACATGCACACTCATGTATACACATATGTACATGCACATACATGTACAGCACACATGTACACACGTATTCGCACATGTACACACGTGTATACACACATCTACATGCACATACAGGTATAGCACACATGTACACACGTATTTGCACATGTACACACGTGTATACACACATCTACATGCACTTACTGGTATAGCACACATGTACACATGTATTCGCACATGTACATACACGTATACGCACACCTACATGCACATACAGGTATAGCACACATGTACACACGTATACGCACATGTACACACGTGTATACACACATCAACATGCACATACACGTAGAGCACATATGTACACACATGTATACACACATCTACATGCATATACAGGTATAGCACACATGTACACACGTATTTGTACATGTACACACATGTATACACACATCTACATGCCCATACAGGTATAGCACACACGTACACACATATTCGCACATGTACACACGGGTATACACCATCTACATGCACATACAGGTACAGCACACATATACACACATGTATACACACATCTACATGCACATACAGGTATAGCACACACGTACACACATATTCGCACATGTACACATGTGCATACACCATCTACATGCACATACAGGTATAGCACACATGTACACACATGTATACACACATCTACATGCACATAAAGGTATAGCACACATGTACACACATGTATACACACATCTACATGCACATACTGGTATAGCACACATGTACACACACATCTACATGCACATACAGGTATAGCACACATGTACACACATGTATACACACATCTACATGCACATACAGGTATAGCACACATGTACACACATGTATACACACATCTACATGCACATAAAGGTTTAGCACACATGTACACACATGTATACACACATCGACATGCACATACAGGTATAGCACACATGTACACACATGTACACACACATCTACATGCACATACAGGTATAGCACACATGTACACACATGTATACACACATCTACAGGCACATACCGGTATAGCACACATGTACACATGTATTCGCACATGTACACACATGTATACACGCATCTACATGCACATACCGGTATAGCACACATGCACACACATGTATACACACATCTACATGCACATACCAGTATAGCACACATGTACACATGTATTTGCACATGTACACACATGTATACACACATCTACACGCACATACCTGTATAGCACACGTACACGTGTATTCGCACATGTACATAGATGTATACACACATCTACATGCACATACAGGTATAGCACACATGTACACACGTGTATACACACATCTACATGCACATACACGTAGAGCACACTTGTACACACATGTATACACACATCTACATGCACATACAGGTACAGCACACATGTACATATGTATTCACACATGTACACGCACATCTACATGTACATACATGTATAGCACACGTACACACATATGTACGCACACACCTACGTGCACACACACATCTACATGCACATACATGTATGGGCACACATGTACATATCTACATGCACATACATGTATGGGCACACGTACATATATACATCTACATGGACATACATGTATGGGCACACATGTACATATATACATCTACATGCACATACATGTATGGGCACATATGTATATATATACAGCTACATGCACATACATGTATGGGCACACATGTACATATATACATATACATGCACATACATGTATGGGCACACATGTACATAACTACATGCCCGTACATGTATGGGCACACATGTACATATATACATACATCTACATGCCTATACATGTATGGGCACACATGTACATATATACATGCACATACATGTATGGGCACACATGTACATATATACATGCACATACATGTATGGGCACACATGTACATATATACATCTACATGCCCATACATGTATGGGCACACACGTACATATATACATCTACATGCACATACATGTATGGGCACACATGTACATATATACATACATCTACATGCCCATACATGTATGGGCACACACGTACATATATACATCTACATGCCCATACATGTATGGGCACACACGTACATATATACATGCACATACATGTATGGGCACACATGTACATATATA